TCTGGAATGTGCTTTGTAGATCAGGATAGCCTTGAACTAACAGAGACCTTGTTGCCTTTGCCTCCTGAGTTCTAGGATTAAAGGCATGCATCACCATACCTGGCGATGTTTTAATATATAATCTTTTAATATATAATCACCACTGCCATGTTACTTTTTTTTTTTTACTATAACTCATATAATAACTTACTAGACATATGGTGCAATGTATTTTTAATCTTTCTTTGCTACAACCAAGGCGACTTTCAATAGAAAACAGTCTGGTAATGAGATCCTTTAGTCAGATCAATTAAAAATATATTTTTGTGTGGATATACATGTAATAATGACTGAAGCCATGAATTTGAAGGAGAAATGGGGTGGGTATATGGAAGGGTGCAGAGGGAGGGAAGGGAAAAATGTTGTAATTAAAATAGAGTCTCAAAAACCAAAAACAACAACAATGAAGAGTGGGTTTTATGCCTAGGAATCTGCTAAGCAATTTAGATGCATTAGTCCAATCATTTAAAAATAAATATGCTTCAGCCAGTTCCAGTATTTCTCCCAAAACAAGTCTTAATAGCTTTCGTAAGTGGAAGAGATGGAGAAACAAAAGCTTTTTTGAAACCTCAGCCTGGTTCTTGGCAGTAACTCTGAGGTCCCGAAGCTGCCAGCCTTTCATGTGCCCCAGGCCTTCCCTCACCTCCTCCTGCGAAAGATCTTGGTTCTTCCAGGTCAGCTGCTGCCTGGGTTACTGGGCCAACTGCTTCTCAGGGAATCCCCAAGGGAGCTTTTTTCTTGGGTTTATCATCACCCAGTCTTCCAACCAGCTCTTAGAGACCCCCTTCATTACCTAGACCTTCTTTAAAAGCACAGGAGGACTGAGGCAGGAGCTTTCATGAGTACCAACAAGAACACTTCTTTTGATGCTGACTTTTATTCACTGGTTCTCACATCTTGCTTTATGTACAGAAGAAGTAATACAATCCTCTGAATTATTTTAAAATGTATATTTTTATTATTAATATTTAATTAGCACACAAAGACATGGGCTTCATTATGACATTTTTTTTTTTTTTTTTTTTTTGTTTTTCGAAACAGGGTTTCTCTGTGTAGCTTTGCGCCTTTCCTGGAACTCACTTGGTAGCCCAAGCTGGCCTCAAACTCACAAAGATCCACCTGGCTCTGCCTCCCGAGTGCTGGGATTAAAGGCGTGCGCCACCACCGCCCGGCTCATTATGACATTTTTATATATGTATATCAATGTTCATATTCACCTCTTCACTACCTCCCTCATCCTCCACCTCTTCTAACTGGTCCCCTTCTGCATAAATGGTCTCCTTTTTCTCTCTGTCTCTGTCTCTCTCTCTCACCCCCCCCCCATACACATATGAGTGTAAAAATCTAGAATCCAAAGATGAAGAAATACAAGCTATTTGTTTTGGGTCTGGCTTAATTTTTCTTAACACTACAATCTCTAGCACCATCCTTTTGTGAATCACTTTTTCATGATATCCATGTCACTGAAGATGTTTACTCATGCTGTTTCACCTTTCATATGCTCCTCTCCTTTCTGGAGGAGATGTATAAGTAGAAGATGCAGCACAGACCCGAGCTGCATCCTGTATTTAATGAGAGAAGTATAGGAAATAGAAGGTCTGTGCTGCATTTTCTACTTATACACCTCTTCCACACACTGTTTACTAATATAGTTCCTTCCTCTGTAAAATGAGAAAAACCACCTGATGGGTAGTGAGGAGTACATGAATTAATACAGATGAACCTTTAGAATAGAATCAGCTCACTAACTGATCTTGTTCTCAGCATCTAGAGGCTCACAGTGTCTCATAGAGAGAGAAGGTAATTAACCCAAGAGGAGGTTTGGGGGCAGCAAGAGAAGGCAGCTTCTGCAACTGGACTTTCCCAGTCACCTCACTCACGTCCACCCTGCACTCAAGCGTCTTCCAAGTAAGTTTCCGTTTTCTTAACCAGCTGTCCCTCCACTGAACTCTTCCTTTATCGTCACTTACCACTTAAGAGGCAGGATAAGATCAGAACCTCTGCAATGGCAGTCCTTCTCATGCTTAGATTTACAGGCCAATGAAAGGTAGAAGGACAGGCAGGTCCAGCCATCACCTCTTCCTGAGGAAGACCGAGGAGCGCATGGTGGCTGTGTAAAGAGAAGATACTGGCTGAACCACTTTTTCTTCTCATTAAGAAAGTATACATACGTTCTGTGAAGGAGGAAAATTTTAAGGCACCCTTCTCTATAAAAATAACTGTAAAGCCATTTCTAGTTCTGGAATTTAGATGTCTTTTTCTTAAACCAATGCCTCGGTCTCCCTTTACTTGTCCCTTATACTGTTGCTTCAGCCATAATATGAAGTGAGGCCAGTGATGCTTTTAGGTTGACGTCTTCAAAAATCCTTCTGTTGTTCAGAGGGAAATGTTCATTTTAGCTTCACAGACTGAAGCTCATCGCAAATGGTCATAGGCACAGGGGAAGGTCACGTGATAGCTGAGGGCAGTGCTCATTAAGTCATCAGAGTTGCTAAAATGTGACTAGTCATCCACACCTACCTTTCTCGTGGCAATTTGCCTTGTCTAAATGTCTTTAAAAGGTCTGATCACAGTGAAAGTTTCTAGTGAACGAGGTGAGCTGTAACTGAAACCAACAGCCTGATCCTCTAGATTCTAAACAGTTGAAGCAGTAAACAAAGCCCAAGTAGGAGCACAGAGAAACTGCCCTTAACATCGTCATCTGTATGGAGTACATTCTCCTTCCTCAGGAAACTATCAGGCCAAGTGAGCCTACTCATTGTAAAGTGGCCTGACACTATAGATTATGTAGATTGGACACACACAGCTCTGTGGACCCACCACTTAGTGCAGAAAGTACTCAGCTTCTCAGCTTTCCTTTTTTTTTTTTTTTTTTAGTTCTTGCTGGGGTTTAAAGCCAGGGTCACACACATACTTATCATATACCTACCCACTCACCTACACTGGAAATCCTGATTTTGATGTCTCTGGAAAAATACCAAGGAATCTTTAGATCAAAAATTTGATCAAATTACAGAAGCATTTCGAGTTTAAAAATAATGTTTATTCTTTTTTATAATGCACAGGCCCAAATCAGTAGATTATTCTTGAAATAAATGAAAAATTTAAGAACATTGGAGGCTCTTTGCCACCAAACCCCATGCCATCCTCGTATGTAAGTAACCCCATTATTAGGATGCCATGTATTTCTTAACAAATTCTATACCATGGTTTATCCAGATGGGCTCCTTTTATGCACATCTTCATCATTTACTTATAGCATGGAATGATGTGCCATATTGCTTCCAGTGTTGCCTTTTTAAAAATAATACACTCTACTTAACTTTTCCTTTGTACTTCACTCAAACATATAATGATAATCTTCTTAAGTCAATTTTAAAATCTGCTTTAAAGTTCCCACTGATCTGAATCTTGGAATCAAGGGAATGAAAAAAAAATATGCTGCTACAGACGTCATAAAACACACAAATATTGTCTGTATGGCTGAATGATTATCCATCAGCTTTGCATGGATGTGGGTGGTCACCACTCAGATCAAACATGCAATGTCTTCTCCTGTCTCAGAGGTCTGCTCATAATACTTTTTAAATTCTCCCTTCTTCCCCAGAAATAATCTCTATCCATCCTTTTTAAATATTATTGATTAATGGTACCTGATCTGATAGGTTTATACAGTATATCCTGCTATTGACTGGTACATCATTATTTTGTATCTATCCATCATTCCTAACTCATAACAATGTCCATCCCTACATTCCAAAACACACAGTGGTCACTTTCTGAGGCCTAATGTTCTATAATGTTTTTCTTGTTTTCACTAAAAAATATTGTGTGTGTGTGTGTGTGTGTGTGTGTGTGTGTGTGTGTGTAATATATATTAATAAGAATCTTGAGTCAGAATTAGCAATAACAATAACATGAACCTCATGCAGATTTTGTGGAAATCAAAAAGGAATGACCCAGGGCAAAGAGCTCTCTCTGCACATTGCCTGCTGTGTCATGAGGAGCTCGCTAAGCCTGTTCTATGGATGTTATGATGGTGACCAGGGGTCAAATAGTTTTTCTGTTACATAAAAATGTGTTGGTACTTCCCTAAGCATGGGAAAGCAGATCTACCTTCTTAGGAGCTAAATGAGCATGGTTTTGAAAAATTTCAGCAAAATTCTCTTGCTTAAAAAAATTAGAAAATTAAATTATGCTTAAAGGAAAGGATATTTGGTGTCACAAATCTCTACAAATAGGCCCATGACTAATACCCAGGAGTTATTGGTGGGAAAGTGTTTACTTTGACGAAGCAGATGATTTCACCTTCATTCAAAAAAGCACATTTCTGATGCCAGCTCATTAAGGCCAGAGAACAGCTTATAATGACTTTTACACTAAAGGAAAACCTGGAAAGGAAGCAGAAGAGAGAATATCATTAATTCCAAGCTTTTTTGTAGTCTAACCCCAATGGTAAGGTCTATTACCTAAAAATGAGCATGGCACATTGCTCACTAAATGGATCCGACTGTCCTAGAAAACATTTGTGAATGCTTACCAAAGGTTAATGTCTTTGTATCATTGAATCTATTCCTAAGCATTTGTTCTGAAGATTGAACAAAAATAAGAAGACAATGACTAGTATCTATAAAGGGTCCCAAATGGTGAGGTATTGAATGGGAGGCCTGGTGAGGAGAAATAAGGATGAAAAATAAAGAAGACAGCAATATCTGGGACCAGGAGGTCTTGCCTAAGTTGATGACTTATGCCAAGCAAGTTGATGAAGTACAGCATCATATATACTATTTGCAGTGGGCGGGGGCAGCAGGGGGAGGTCAGCAGAGAGCTAAATCAGACAGTGTTGGCAAGAAAACATACATGGGATACCTCAGACACAGCTGCCCTGAGACTGATAACCACAGCTCAGGAGGAAGAACTGGGTCATCAGAAGCCACGACCTTGACTCCTGTGAGGCACTGGCTCCAGCCTCAGATTGGTCTTGCCAAGTCCATTCCTGGATAAGGACACAAACTAAAGTTCCCTTTGTCCATTTTTTTTGTCAGATCTTCAGAGAGTCTTGAGTCAGTCTGGCTCCTCACAGTATTACAGCCCAAATATAAGGTGAATGACAGCGAGTCCACACAGTTGGTGGGAAGCTTTGCAGTCAGTCAAGAGCTGAAGAAGTCTATAGAGTGAGGAAGCAGAAAGGATGGCAAAGAAGCAACAGGTGAGAGAAGTGTACGGTGATATTTTATTTGTACTGAAATGTGATTTTATTTGTATGTTAATAAATAAAGTTGCCTGGGAGTCAGAGCTAATAGTAAGTCATAGCGGAGCTGGGCGTTCGTGGTGCATGCCTTTAATCCCAGCACTTGGTGGGCAGAGCTAGGTAGATCTCTGTGTGGTCAAGGATACAGCCAGCATTGGAGACACACGCCTTTAATCTCAATACCAACCATAGAAGACCTGGAGGTCTGTACAGACAGACAGTGACGAGGTGGTCATGTGGTTGGGTTTACAACCAATGAGAAGGCAGAACAGAAAGTCTATATAAAGACAAACACACAGGAAGTAGGTCTCTCTTTTGCTAAAGAGGCTAGCTGCAGCAGGCGGGTAAGGCTCTTATCTCTGATCTCTTGGCTTTCTTCTTTGCACTAGTTCTGTGTTTCTTATTTAATAAGACAGTTGGTTACATCTACAGAAGTGCATGGACCAAAGGCTCCCCAGGTAACTAGGGCTCCCTATTGTAACCCTGGAGGTCTGCGGAGCAGTTAGGACTAATCTCTGCCTATACTTGCTCCATAACACTTTACAAGACTTCTCTCTCTGGTATGACATTCAGTGAAGAAATGTCCTGCCATCTCCTTTTTCTCAAAAGAGGCCTGGTACACTATGGATGCATGCTTGTGAGTAGAGCTGTCTCTCATGGGAAGAGTTAGGGAGATGAATCCCAGATGGACCTCAGCGTGGCTGGAGGTGGTAGGAAGGAGGTGAAGGAATGCTGTGGAAAGGAAGGAAGGCAGGGCTTGTTTTGGGTTGCATGTGGGGAGAAAGAACAAAAGCAGGAATGAAGGCTGAGGTTTAGGGGTTTTGACTTGGGCCATTGTGCAGTTTGTCATGATATTAACTGAAAAAGTGAAGTCAAGTGAAAAATAAATTTGATAGGAAATTCATGAGCTCCAGTTGAGATGATTTCAAGTAAAGACACCAAGTAGCAGGTGGCTGTGAGCCTCAATTTCAAGAGAGAAGTCAGCGCTAGAATATAAATCCAGTGGGTTACTTGAAGCATGTATATGAGACTCAAGGAAACTGCCTACTGAATGCTTATAATATGTAGAGGGGGATGGATTTTTTTTTGCAGAGCAGAAAGTAGTGATTCAGAAACTCTTGTTGGCTACATGACCCTTAAATATCATCAATGGAGGCGTTGGGGATTTAGCTCAGTGGTAGAGTGCTTACCTAGCAAGTGCAAGGCCCTGGGTTCAGTCCTCAGCTCTGAAAAAAAAAAAAAAAAAAAAAAAAGAAAAGAAAAGAAAAGAACATCATCAGTGGAAAAACACAAAACAAAGCTTGGCAATAATCAAATGAAACTTCTATGAAACCAATGGAAATATTGTGAGGTGAGGAATACAGAGGAGCCGGGGGCTCTCTCCAGAGCTCCATACTTCTTGTGGTGACTATTATGGACTGAATATACATGTTTCTCTCAAATTCATGCTCTGAAACCCTAAGCCCCAACGTGACTACACTTTGAGATGGGCCTTTACAGAGGCAACTAAGATTAAATGACATTGCAAGAATGAGGCCCAGATCCTACATGATTAATTTCATTATAAGAAGAAAGCTTGCCCTGGGTCACCTCCCAGTCATAGTCAAAGGAAAGGTCACTTGAGGACACAGGGAACAGCAGCTAGAGAGTCCTCATCAGATATGCAGTCTGCAGGAACCTTGGCCTTGTAACTTCCAGACTTAGGAGAACATTACTGCGATGGCAGCCCACCCAGCCTGCGGTATCTGTCAACAGTCCTACAGCCTGAGCAGGGATGCAGTAAACTGTTGTGGAATGTTATCTCAAGATGTGCTACATTTGTGTGCTGCATAATATTTGTTTAATGATGCAAAGATGTGCTACATTCTTTTATGTTGCATTTGTTTAACTTTGTAAAGTTGTGTTACTTTGCCTGTCTAAAACATGGGATTGGTTTAATAAAGAGCTGAACATCCAATAGCTGGCAGGCAGAGAAAATAAATAGGAGCAAAAGAAGAAGAGGGAGGATGGAGAAAAGGAGAAGGAGAGAGAGAAGGACTCCAGGGGCCAGTCACCTAGGCAACCAGCCAGCAATGGAGTAAAAAGGGAAGAAAGACATATAGAATAAAGAAAGGTAAAAAGCCTAGAGGCAAAACATAGGAGAAGAGAAATGGGTTAATTTAAATTAGAAAAGCTGGCTAGAAATAAGCCAAGCTAAGGCCATGCATTCATAAGTAACAATAAGTCTCCATATATTTATTTGGGAGCTGAGTGGTGGACCCCCAAACAGCAAACAAAACAGCAATAACAACAACAAAAACCCAACTACAGTGACAGTCCAACAGCCTGAGCTGATGATGCAGTGAACAGTCCTGCAGCCTGAACAGGTAGGTGATGTAGTGAACAGTCCTGCAGCCTGAACAGGTAGGTGATGCAGTGAAGAGTCCTGCAGCCTGAACAGGTAGGTGATGCAGTGAACAGTCCTGCAGCCTGAACAGGTAGGTGATACAGTGAAGAGTCCTGCAGCCTGAACAGGTAGGTGATACAGTGAAGAGTCCTGCAGGCTCAGCTGGTAATGCAGTACACAGTCCTGTGTGCTCTCATATGTTAGGTACTAGGTAGATGTGGCCTTGAGTTTGGAGGCACAGAGGGATTTGGAGATGAAGTGTTAGGTCAGTGCAAGTACTAGACATGAATGAACTAAAGAGCACCTCATTTAGATGGAAAGCACAGAAAGGGCTATGTCCCTGGTAAGCAAGCTAGTGAGCTAGAAAAAGAAAATCTATCCCTTACAGAAGAGCATCATCCATGATGCTGCATGGACCATTAAAGAGCAAATGACCACACACCCAAATTAACTCTGAAAATAACTAGACCTAAAGTCTACACTATCTCAGTGAACTTCTATACAATTAGAGTAGCCTTCTGAAGCTGTAGAGCTTCATGTTATATTTTATACTTTCACTATCATTTTTTTGCACTTGTCTGATTAAGTGTGTGATTTAAAAAATTTTCAAGTTCTTTACAATAACCTTTTGTGTGTGTGTGTGTGTGTGTGTGTGTGTGTGTGTGTGTGTGTGTGTGTGTATGTGTTTGAAACAAGGTTCTTCTAGGTAGCCCTAGCTATGCTGGAACTATTTCTGTAGACCAGGCTGGCCTCAAACTCACAGAGATCTGCTTGCATCTGTATCCTGAGTGCTTGGATTAAAGGCGTGCACCACCCCTGGCCTACAATAAACTTTTAATAATAATAAAAATAAAGCAAACGATACCCTCTGCAAGACAGACAGCAATAACACCAACAAAATGCCATGTATTTTCCCCCAAAAATTTCTTCCATGGACTTGGCATAATCTATATTGTTTTCATAATCTTTAGAAATATATATATAGACAAAGAACTGAAGTTTAAAATCAACTGCAAGAACCAGGCACAGGCTTGTAATCCTAACACTTGGCAGGCAAATGCAGAAGGCTTTCAAGTTCAAGGCCAGACTGGGCCAGATAAGATTCTGTCTTAAAAACAATTCCAAAGAGGGAGAAAGTAAAAAAGACCATAGAGCCCCCAGGAACAGCAATACCAGTGTAAGTCTTCCTAGGAATACAACTGCTTTAGTTCAATCTCAGAATTCCTGGATACAAAATCCATGCAAACTTGAAACTCACAAGGAAGCCAGCTACCACTAACAATGGCTTGAGAAAGGAGGAGTCAGGCCCAGAACAACCATCTCTATAGATTTAGAATTGCTGGATACAGAATCCAAGCTGAGACATTATATCTTAAGTTAGATGGGGTGAGGGGCATAAAAATCTGAAACAGGCAAAAGAGACCAGCACAAGGAGCACATAGTGCAAAAAGGCAAATAGGATTGCCAAGAAGAAAAAGCACAATTGTTTGCCAACAAATGCTTGCTGAGCATCTGCCGTGTGACAGGCGTCCTCCTGGTAACTGGGTTCGTCACGGGAACAAAAGAAATGACAAGTATTTATTTGTCTCATGCAGCTTGCTTTCTAGAGTAAATAAAATTTCAGTTGGTGGAAGGATAATGTGAGAATCCACGGAAGTCTGGGATCAAGAATTTATTAAGGGATGAAACGGAAATAACACACTCGGGAGTACAGAATGAAGTGATACTGCTGCCTCTTTGTCTACCAGGGAAGGATGATGGGGAAAGCTCTGGACCAGGTCACCAAGCCATGGTGTCAGGAAACCTTCCATGTTCAAGAGAGCTTGTGTGACCCTCCTCCTTAGTTCTTATCCAGTCATGTACCCAAAGAAGACCATGCCCATAGGGCTTGTCACCTCAATACCATTGGCTAAATGGATTGAGCTCCCACAAAACCTCCCCCCCCTTTTTTTTTTTACCTAATTATGAAGGTTCTAATCCTAATATAAAATGCTATACAATAAGAACAATTATCAAGTATTGTCCAGAAGAAAGAAAAGGGAATAACATAAACAAAAATGGAACTGCAACCAAAAAGAACAGCATCAAGCAAGAAACACATACTAGATGTGTCCAGACCGTAGGTAAATGGCAAATTACAGAGATTACTCCAAAAGTTGTCCTTTCCTGAAGAGTCTAAGTCTTGTACCTAATATGTCCTTAGCTAAGATTCAAGTGGATTGTAACTGTAACTATCTAGTCTTCAACCCCATCAAAGACCTGAGAAGGAAAGTAAGCAAGTAACTTTCAAAAAAATGCAAGAAATGACAGAAACCACCTGGCCACCTGGACAGTCATCCAATGTTTTTCTGCAATGTTGGGACATCTAACTTTGCCTGGAATATCTGACAGACCATTTTCAGAAGCAGG